GGCTAGCATGCTGGAAAGCTTGGCACTCATGAACTGAGGAGTTTAAGGGGAATCTGTTTCGTGAATGACTTGGGAAGATGATTCATCACCCCATGATGATTGTCCTTGTCCCAGACACAAAAAGCAGAAATCCCACTGATATAGCATTTTGTATGTTTTTTCCTCTCAGAGTTTGAATCTTGATGTTCTGGTCCAGATTTTCCACATGAAGATTTTAAGAGAAATAGAAACACTTAGCCAGCTCTTCGAACTTTATTACCCCAGGAGCAGTAACCATTGACTATAGTCCAGCAAAAGCGACAGCAGAAACCAAGTGTGTTAGTGTTAGAATGCTTTCACCATAAATACACGTGAAGTGTTGTTTGATGGGAGATTGCAGCTGTATAATTTAAAATCTTTGCAGATTTTCAGCAAAAAGAGTACCTTCAGGTATCTGAAGGCAAAAGGTATTATCAAACGGTCAGTGTAGATTTTCTGCCAACTGCATTTAAAAAACCCAGCACTACATTATCCTGGGAAAAAAAAAAAACACATTACAATTAGAATGAAATTTCACAAAAGCATGTGAATTCTGAGTCAAGTATGTTTTAAGTGCTGCAAACCGACACCTTGGGATTTAGACATGTATGGGTTTCCAGAGACCTTGTACCACAGTCAGTGTTTCATATCACTAGAAAATACATAAACAGCAGGTGAGCCAATTCTACCTTCTTTTAGATGCTTACCACTTGCAATAATAGCAAGACTTTCTTTCCACTGGATAATAAGGTGAAGGAAAGAGAAGTACTTTACTCTCAGCAGATGTCCTTGAGCGTAGCACCTGAAATTCGGTGAACTGTGTCAAGTATATATAGTGGTTAACTACAGCAAAATGTGTTGTTTTCTGGAGTAATGAAGAAAAATTTCCATAGAAACCTCATAACTTGCTACCTTGAACTTGGAAAATGACCATTTGAGAGAACAAAAACAAATAGACAAAAAACAATGGAGTCTTATACTAAGGTACTCAACAAAGAGTTAGACAGGTGCCTGTAAGCGTATGAAGATTGGCACCCACTCTAGATTGAAAACAACTCTTTAAACACTGTTTAAGCTGAGATCTAAACCATTGTGAGAAGGATGCAACACTCAACATGTGTTTTACTTTACGTGAGTGTTGATTGCACTCGACACTCGGGTAAAGAATGTTTGTGGACTTCATACAAATGAGTTTCTCTGTACTTGAAGGAGCATTTTATGCAGTTCTTCTTAGCTTGGTGTAAGGTCAGTGTGATACAGACCCACCAAGAACATGGTAGAAGAAAGCAGGAGAAAGAAGGAACTCTTGTGTTTCCCAGAAAGGAGAAAAAACATTGATCAAAAGCTAATTTCTGCCATTTGACACAGCTTTGAGAGACCATAGGTCAAGTTAGCTTTCTTCATCTTTAGTGTAATTCAACAGGTATCCAAGTTACTGATTCTTTTTTTTTTTTAATAACAGTTCTCCAGAGCTGAAAAGCATATCTAGTGGATGTAAAAATAATCATTTCAAAATAGTTTGGAGATACTTGAAAGTATCATGTGGCAAAGTGTCTGAAAAAAAAAAATTCAGATATTTTTATGTGAATTCCTGTGGTGTAGAAAAGATCAAAGTTGTTGAGGGTATAAATTCATGTGAATATGTTTATGTGAATAGGGTATGAGAAACTAAACTTTTTCCAAAGTTTATGTTTATATTCACTGTTCCTCTGTGTCTGTATGTACAGGATGCTGGAATATGAGTATTTTCTCTTAATTTAAAATCTTTCTAAAAGGAATAGCATTCCATGTGAAGGACGCCCTTACCATGCAGTCTACAGCAGAGTATTGTCCTTCAAAAAATTTTGTATTTCTCTTGAAGTTATTTCATGTAATCTGTTGTCACATAAATAATCCATATCATGGTCCTATTTATGCAGAAACATGTATACATTGACTTCAGTGCCAGTTGAATAAGTGAAACTTACTCAGAAGGTGATTGGTGCTTCTCTTCCTCCTTATTGGTAATGTATGCAGAGGAGAAAAAATGTTGGAATTTTCATTTCATAGGCAATTCAGGCATTTTAACATATGGCTTTCTCCCAAAGTTCAGATGATAAGAAAAAGTTTAGGAAAAATTTTACTTGGAACATGTGAAAAGAAAAATGCAGTGAATGTGACAGTATAATGCACGTGCTAGCAGTAGCACAATGCCTCCTGAAAGAAGAAATTTTAATGATATATCCCATCATACTTTGTGGACTGGGTTCTTTGAAGGGACGACTTCTGCTGTTGTTTTTATGCTTAGGACGCACGTAATGGACCAGGGCCTTGTCTGTGGGCCAACATACATCATCTCTGAGATGCTGGAGCACAGATATGAAGGTTAATATCAAGCCAACTGTTTGGGCTTAGTTCTACAATCCAGAGTATCTTTTCAGATCCAGCCAAACTGAAATACCTCGTTCTTTTCTTGATGGAATCTCAGTAGCATTTCCACAGAAATGCACACAAGTGGGTAAAAATGTAATTTTCCTTTGAAAAAGCCATGTAATTGAAAAAAAATCCAGCAACCCCTAATAACAAGTCATGTCTTTACTGCCCATTCTACTCCTTCATACACATTCAAAATAAACAATGTTACTTCCATGTACTAACACTTGCCATTCCCTCCCCTATGTGCAGTGTTCATTGAGCAGTTTAACCTCCCTTCTCTTACTTCCCCATCTTTTCTGTTCAGTCTGTTAAATACGCTGTACCTGGTACAGTCCTATCAAGTATATCTTGCTTTTGGATCTCTTTGCAGGGTCTTTCTTGTTTTGGTTTGGTGGTGGGGTGGGTGTGTTAATTTATTTCTGTATTCCATAATTATCTCAGATTTTGCCTAATCTGAGATACCTAGGGTGTATGGGAGACGGGCAGAAATGGAGGAACACATCCCAAGTAAACACGTGGTACTGCATTTGTTTCAATCTGGACAAGACCACAAATGATAAGGGCAAACTTAAGCATGCACTATAAGGTACGGAAGGAAAAAAGTAGACATTTAAAAATTATGAACTATTAAAGGAATTTTTGTAGTGTATGGAACTTTGCCAAGAGGTTCGTATGAACTACCAGTGAAGTAACATCCTCTTTGAAATAGTACATCTGATCAGAATGTAGGGAGGTGTTAGATTTAGTTTTGCAGCAGAGGATACAAGCTCTACTGCAGGAGTCAGTGAAAAGAAAGGATGCAAGTGTAGATAAAGATGGTGTGGGAGGGTGTTTGTGGTATCAGAAGCATTCGTTCTGGAATTTACCTAACAGAAAAGTCATATATAATTACTGCATATAATGCAGTAAGTGTGGTTTTAATACAAAGCACAGAAATGCTATAAAGGAAAATGTAGGAAAATAATTCTGCTTATATAGCATTTAATGATTAAGAATTTTTACAGGTTTGGAAGAGGGAAGTTTTAAGTAGCAGTTATCAAGTCAATAAGAAGATCATGTGCAGGGAAGCTATCTAAAAGGCAAGGAGAAGCTACTTAAAATAAGCAAGCAGAGATGTGTAATTAAATGTTAGGACAGATAATGCAAGGAAAAGGAAATAGATGGTAGATTCCTGGCATTGACAACACGCAGGTGATATTCCTTGAGCTAGCGAAATACATAGAACAGACCAGGACGTAGAGAAGCTACAATCTGAAAGGTATGCTATAAAAAGCACAAATATAGAAATGCCGTTCGACTGTTAAGATCAGGTGACAGGCATACCTTCTCAGCTGGTTTATGTACGAGTATGTGCCAACATGAACGATCGCTTTTGTGGGTGTGATTATGAGGGTTGTTTTCTGAACTTTGATTCAATAAACCAAAGTGTATTCTGTAAATACACAGCAAAATCTATGTATGCTATAAAACGTCCTCTTTCTGTTTTGCATTTCTGGGATCATCTCTTCAGTCCAGATATGCTTTTACTTTCCATTGCTCTTCTAACCTTTGGACAGCATCTCGTGTGTGTTTACAGCTTCTGCACAAAAGCTGACTGCAGCTATCTGTAATTAACTTGCCAGGCACAGCCTCACAAAGAGAGAGGAGCGTTCTCTTTGTGATCTTGAAACGTTTTGAGATGTGAGGAGCTATGATTGGTGTTCAGTGATCGCCAAAGCTTCTACCGCAGTTAGAAACGTGTCATGATTGTGAAGCTGATCGGTGTATGTTTGCTTCAGGAGGTAAACCAGCAGAGAGATCAGGAATGTAATGAGTGTCATTGCAGCTATTCTCACTTTAGATTTTTTTTTGGCAGGGAGAACAGAAATTTATACAGGCCAGTGATGTGAACAGAAAATAAAATGTTTAAAAGGAAATAAACAAGAAAGGGAAAGTTTGGTGCAGAAGGCTGCAGACAGAAACCAAATGCAGAACAGTGAAGCGGCTTCTAATGTAACTGGCAAATAAAGGGTATCATTGGTACATACAAAATATGTTTACTACATGGTTGAGTACCTCAGCACAATAAACTCAAAGATACAGTTCAAACTCAATTTTGGATACTTACGATCAGCTCATTTTACAGATTTATGAGTCACTCGATCCTTTGTAAAGAAGATAGACTAAGATCCAAAATATACGAAGCACACCTTAAATAAGAACATTATTCTATAAATTTTGAAGTTTAATAAAAGGAATTACAGTTTGTCCAAAGTTGTTAATATTTATTCGCGACATCTTATGTAATCCACTCCCATGAAGAGTGATGGTATTGTGTCAAGGTTTCTGTAAGGAGACAGATAAAGAGCTTATTTCCTGCACATATTCTCTTCATGATTTTCCTGCTCCATTGACTTGTCTGTATTTGGGCTTTTGGTACCATATATGAAGTTTTTTCCTCATGGGGGAGAGGGGGAACAAGAACCTTTTTATCCCAGAAACGTGGCACACATCAACTGCATCAATTCATGCTCTAAGTTTACTGCTTCCTAATCATGTATTTTCTGTTGTGTTTTTTTTTTCACTAGGGCATATTTCAAGACATTTGTCCCTCAGTTCCAGGAGGCAGCATTTGCTAATGGGAAGCTTTAGGCAGCCTCAGGCATGGAAACGATACTGAACAGATCCTTGAGTTTGCGCATGTCAGCCCACAAGAAGAATGCCTGGAAATGGGACGGACTGTCGATATGTGCTTTCTTGCCTCTGAAGTGATTTGGGTAGCTTCACTTTTTGAAACAAAGACCTCAGTAGCATGCTTAGAACTGAATATTTGATATTCTTCTTGTCCCTTTGCCTCTGCCACCACCATTCCTTTATATATCTTCTGAATTAAGTTTAAAAAGGGTGTGTTTTGATGTGATAACACTTTCTTGTGCCAACAGTGTCCCGTATGTTATGCCTTGTTTCCTTGTCTTCAGATGGTCTAAACTGGGATTTCTTACCCCATGGAAATATGATGTAGTCTGTATATTTAGTTAACATTTTCAGCTTATCCTAAGAAAACATAAAACTGCTGTGTGTACCAGGTATGCCTAATGGACTGTACAGTGCCATATTCTGCCTTGGAGGTTTGCGTCTCACTGTGGCTGTTACTCTCACAGGTATGGACATGAGTTGCACAAACTCAATTCTTAGTGCCTTTCCAGTTGAAGTTAATATGGCAAGGTGTTTGAGGGTTGGCGTGGGGTTTTTTAACATTTCTGTTCAAAGCTCATCTTACGTGAAATGCTGTGCTTTTATGCTTTGTTTTTATTTCCAGTTGTAGAGTTTTCGTTCATTTTGGTTCGTTTTTCTGATGAGCTCCCCTTGCCATTACAGAAAAGTTCTGTAGTACGAATGTGCAAGGAACTAGAAGCAGTATAACAAAATAAAGCTCTTTCATAGATCTGTAATTTTTCCAAATAAGATAAATACTGCTCAGAAGCAAACTTTCATCAAGGGAATGAATGATGTCTTGGAAAATAACATGAAATAATGTAGGGCTATAGGTATTTATCTTAATGCTTAAGTTCAGCATGTCTTCTCAGAAATAATTTTGCGTGTATATAACTGGAAACATTACCTCCCCTAATTCTAAACTGCCAAACACAAAATCCCACCTACTCATCCCTTCTTTCCTGCTTGTGTCAGGCGCACCATTTGGGGCTAACTGTCACGATGCCACTTCCCAAATTAATTTGTGAATAGACCAGGGTACTTTCCAGTAAGGAATAAAATGAACAGTGTATGTTGCTTATAAATGGCATCTGGAAAATGTGCCCTACTTCTGCAAAATATAAGGAACTAAGTGAATAGTATGCAGATGATACAGTGGAACTGGAAAACATTTAATTTTAAATTATGCACTATAGCACCACGTGCAATGAAATCTTATGGAATTACTTGATTGGCAGTATTCTCCTACCCTTTCTGCAACTTGTTATTTTACATGAAAAATAGTGCTTTTGAGGGTTTATGTCCACCTAGGAAATGCAGATGGGTTTTGAGCAGTGAAGCTTAATAATTAAGAATTATGCAAATAATTCGCCTCTAGAAACTTCAGGTATTTTTAGCTAGTTTATGGGCAAAATTTAATTTATGCTTAATACTGAAGTTCTTGGCTGTAAAATTAGCTGCAAACAACATCAGAAGCCTTATTGTAACTCTGCAGAGGAGGGGGCATATTCTGTCCCGTGACCCATCCCTTTGTGATTTCCAATGCATTATTTGAGGACTGCCAACAGCTCCAAAGGTCTGAGCCTGAATTCCCTCTGTGGAGACATTGCATGAGGCTTTTGCATGCAAACCAAAACTTAGAGCAGATGTGGAAGGTAATGGCTTTGTGTGAATGGCAAAACCATAACTGAACAGCTTTAAGTGACTGGGAACAAGCATTGTTCAGTGCACTGGGATGATCTCACATTTGCATTTCTTCAGGTAAAAGCCAAAGCCACGTATTTAAGAATAAGCCAACCTTGTAAATGGGGTGGGAGAAGGAGGATGGCTAATGAAAAACATATGTTCTCATAGTGTTCAAAATCTGATAGGAACAATCTCCAGCCATCTTCAGAAGGTAAAAACCAAGCCCTCAAGTTGCATCAGTACATTCCTGTAATCTTACATTTTATGACCTTGTGTTTGATTCAGCATTGTAGTGATTGCCCCATGAACACAGTGTGTGCTTACATACCTGATTGTCCAGGTGGCACCACTATTTATTTTTTTTATCTTTTCAGAAATTGCCATGATTCAAAGGCTAGCAGTCACAAAACATTTCGGAAAGAGATCCATTCTTCATAATTAAGATTATTTTCAACCAAAAATGCATCCTTCACCTCAGTCCCAGTAATTTTGGACAAAGAACTGTTTTATTATTAAAAGACTAAGAGTTTTAGAAGCCAGGTAAGAAAATACTTTGAAGGTACATAAAGTCTAAACCAGCAGTTCCTTGTGTTGAATTCCGTAGTTTCATCAGCTCTCCAGTAACGTACATGGGAACAAACCAGTAGTTTCAGTCTCAGTTTATGTCATGCTACAATTGGTAGTATTTAGGGAAAAAAAAGTAAAATAAAAAGGTGGAAAACATGGGAAACTGTACTGTTTGTGTTTAAGATAAAGTTTGCAAGCCCATCGATTCTTAGATTAAAGAAAAGGCGTTTTCATTACACTTAATAAACATTTTCTTTAACCTGCACAGAATTTTATGGATCCCTTCCTTATAGTCCTCAGAAGTATTAGAAGTGTTAGCACTGCAAATGGGGTATTGGAAGAAAAGACACTGAAATGAGTGAAAGCTTCTCTCCAGAAGAAGGATTACCATGTAAATACTACACCAGAAAAGAGATTTAGTTTGACTAATTTTATATCATTGAAGGCATTTGAGTTAGCCACGAAAGTTGGGATCTAGTAAGCTGGAGTTATTTCTGTTATCTCCTGTTTTATTATAATATCCATTGTGGCCAGTTTAATGACACAGAGACTTTCAGCGCTTCCTTCCCTATTATGTAATATATGCAGTTGAAAGGAGCAGTCAGATCTAGGCTGTTTTCCTTGGTTTATGAGAATCACAAAACATAAAGGCGAAAAATAGCAGTGTTGCAAACATATCAGAAAGCCTAAGCTCAACTCTTGTCACAGTTCTGACTGAAAGAAATGCAGTAAGGCTTTAGTTACTAAGCCCTATTAATGCACGATTTTCCAAAGGTCCTTAAACTGCAAATGTGCTGTCAAGCCTTTATTCGTCTGCATACATATTCCACTGTGCTAGAAGTAATACCAAATCTTACGGATTTAAAGTCAGACTTCTTGTGAACTTGCTGGAAAGACTGGACAAACAGCTGGAAGAATAAATAAAAGTAACTATATCATATGTCGTTTGGCCTTCATTGATCTTTCCTTTGTGCTGGCCACTACTTTGTTGGTCAGCATGTTTCATTTGCTGAATCAACAGGTTTTGGTATTGTCACTGTGCTTGAACATCCTTCCTTCATACAGAGAATAGACCTGAGTCAGTTTTGAGAAGAAATCATTACTAGAGTTAGCATAGATCTCCTGTATATTGTTAAACCATCCCTAGGGATGTTTCTCTGTATGTTTCCTTTCTCTCATCCTGTCTGGTGCCTGTGGCAATAAGCATCTTTGGTGAATCAGTCAGTGGATGAGATTTAGCAATGAAGTACAGCACTTTAGGTCTTACTTAGGTGGTTTTACATAGAGACTTCTTACCTGGAAAGAGAGGATTCAATCTTTAGTACTCTCCATTGAGCAGTGCCCCCTAATTCAAAGCTGAGGGTTTAGCAGAGGTCAAAAACCTGTTTGAGCAGTGAGTAGGGACTGCTGCTTAGACATTCTTCTGTGTCAGTACCCTTAATCAGAGAAGCAGCAGGCAGTAGAAAGTTGTAGTAGCCCATGAGGATCACCACTGCAGATCTGAAATACGTTTCTGATACCATGTCTGTGCATGGAGATGAAGGGTTGAGTCCTCTGACAGTGGAGAAAGGGAGTTTCTCACCTTTCCAGCTTTGTGAGAAAGGTGCTGCAAGGAGGTGACAAGCTTTGGACACAGCTTCTGACCATGACTGTTAATTACAGGGTGCTGTCCCTGCCCTGTGAAGCAAATGAAATCTGTGACCAAACTGACTGCCAGTGAACCCTCTTCCCTTTAAATTACTTATGTCTCTGTAATTGATGTATTGTAACACTCATTAAGCCTAAGAGTTACACTTGCTTCTTGAATGTTACTGAAAATCCCTTAAGTCATCTCCTTTTCACTTTTATTTTCAGGTGTCTCTACTGTTCTGGGTTTATCCTTTCTATTTACTGCAATTTTTAGCAAGATTGAGGTTTTTATTTTAACTAGGCAACAAGGTGTATGCCGACATCTTATGGGCCTACATTAAATGTAGAATTATTTGCTGTAAAAATAAGTAGAAACTCTTTTTTGCATATTAAACCAAGTGGTGTATTTTCCACAACAGAAGGATTCTGAGGAAAAGCTCAGTTGTTACCAGAGCAGAGAGGATAATCATGCTGAGGGCACTGGATGCATTTTTTGCACCAAATCTTCATTTAATTTGCATGTTAGTAAATTAGGAGTGGCAAAGTGTATAGTCCTTTTCTGAAGGAAGTCTGCACCTAAATAAACCATTGATCAGGCACTATCTTTTCCTGTTTAGGCTTTGCATCAATAGGGTTTGCCCCTATAGGGAAAGTCAGTAAAAATCTGAATAATATCTATCAACAGCGCAGAGGTTTTTTAACATTTTAATCTACTGATTTCTGTAGATACCGAGAATAATGGGGAAGGTGAATAACACAAATATCAGAAACTTGCAAGTAACTTTAGCTATACAGGAAATAAAAATCTAGCAATCTTAAGTCTTATTCTGCAAGAACTCAAGGATTCTGCTATACATTTCTAATCAAAAGCCTTGAAAAAAACATGGCGTATAGGTGATTTTAGACCTGCTTTTCTTATTCTGTTCCCTGTCTCACATTTAAAACCTCAGTTCTTGGTTCCAAGGCACTGCACAAACACCATTTTGTTAAAGTGGTAGTTACCAATCAAAAAGGCAGGGGGGGAAACCAGTATCGGCTGCTGAAAATAGGTCTTAAATCATCAAGAAATCAACAAAGGAAGCAAGGTTTGGCGGCTGCCCTGCCACTTGCTGAGTCTACAATATGGGCCTTCAAATGTGTCCCCAGTACAAATTAAAAAAAATAGAGGAGGTTTTTCTTGCAGTGCTAAAGAATAAATGCAGTTCTAAACAACAGGAAGTAAAGCAAGCGTTTAATTGCAGGCATGAGAAGCAAAATACACACTAGAAATCTAATGTTATTTGTGCCTACAGCTCCCCGCGTTTCTCCTGTCACCAGCGAGGGTGAAGCATTAATGCCTCGTGCTGCAGCTGCCTGTGGTGAAAATTGACCCTTGAGGTGCTCCGTGTTTTCATCGAACTCCAGTTAAACCCTAATGATGCTTTTTCTATCCCTGAGGATGACAACGCAGTGCCAGGGAACAGCAAATCTTATGCTGTCAGGGGTTTCTGTTCCACTGCTGCTCCATTTCAAGTCCTTGATTTGGGTGGGGCGAGTACATTGTAAGCCATCAAGCCTGCCAGCAAGCAGGGTACATTTTATTTACTTGGTGTTTATTTGAAATGATTCAAGCTGATTCAAATTTGAATCCTTTTTTCTTTATTCCACTGTCCCTTTCAGCAAAATTTTTTTCAGTACTTGTTTAAAAATCAGAGCCGGTGAGGTTATTTGCGTCTTTCGAAGGGGATGTAGCACTGGTGTGAGAGTAGCAGCTCGAGGTTAGAGCCGTGTGTTTCTTCTCTGAACTGCAGAGTCAGCAGCAGCCCCAGTGTCGCACACCCCTCCCAGCAAACCTCACTTGAACTCGGTCTGACAGGCTGGCAACCAGGGGTGACAAAAACTCAGACTGTTTTTTGCTTTTCCTCAGAGGACCGGTGAAATGGCCCCCGCTGGCTCAGGCACTGTGTGTAGCCTGTGTGATCGCGGCTGCAGGAGGTAACTGGCTTTGGTTGCTTATCAACTGGGATAAGGTTTATTTTTGTGCCCAGCACAGGAGCTGTGCCAGAGGGGAATGCCACCCTGCTGTTGCTGCTGCTGCTAAAGCCAGGAGTTTCCTCTTAATGCCTTCATAGGAAAAGTCAGCTGCAAAATCCAGCTGCAACTCAAGTACAGCCCTGCCAGCTAGGAGTGATTTCTTGTGTGTTTTGGCCAGTTGAGCCTGCTCTCTGTTCTTCTGCCACTGTTCTACCAGAGAGCAGACTCTGCAGAGAACTTTCTCCTTGCATCGCCCTAGAGGCACGTAAAAAGTTCAGTGGCTATCAGTAACCAGCTTCCTATCTGAACTTTTCTATCCTTGTTACGAGGAGGGCAAGCAAAATGTCCAAATAAAAATCCATATTATAGATATAGCTTTTTTTTTACATTTCTTCAGTTCCATGGCCTGTTTCAGTGGTTGTTTTATCATCACCCTCTGATGAAATGACACTGTTGGCATGTTGTGTTTGCTAGACTTTCTGCACTCATCTCCCACTCCCTTGTATCCAGTATCTGCCTCTGGAGCACAGGGGAGCTCTCAGACAGCGCACAGATGGACCAGAAAAGAGGATGGCATCTGCGGGTTTCAGCAAGAAAGAGGTGAGTTTGGCTGAAGGGGTTTGTGCTGTGAGAATTGGGCTCATCTTCTTCTGACCACCCACAGCACTTGTAGCCAAGAAGAAGTAACAGCTTCTGTCTAATGGGGTCAGATAGCTAAATGGAGCAGTTCCGCATGGCGGTGGCTGTATAATTATACACTGGGCCCTGGCGTGTCTGGTCCTAATAGCACCCGGGACTCTTGTGGGTGACTCAGCTGCTGCTTGAGGCTAATTATGGGCAGGTTGCATGAAAAACCCCCACAACCTGATCCTGCCTTCCTCTCTTCCAGTGCATGGGTGTTCAGCACCGACCTGGATTGCTCATGCAAAGCTGGGTAAATACCTGCTCATGAGGAAAAGGCTTTTCAAAGCAAGGCTGCAAACAACACTCGGAGGTGCGTGGTTTGAAGAGGAGGTGGTGTCTGTCAGGACATTGTTCAGGTGTATCCAATTCCCTGTCTCTGACATTAGCCCGTGCTGGGGTACTTCATAAGAGAGATTTAAAAATAATCTCATCACTTGGTTTGTCACACTTTTTATGGATGGTGAGAGTATTTCTTATTGTGGTGCTTTAGAAAGGGATCGAGGCCCATTTCAAACCTGAGCTATGTATTCAGCACTGTGATATGCTCTGTCAAAAGGGTACCTGTTTTAGCTATACTGTGTGAAGTGTTACTTATTTTCTCTGCTCCAGAGATACCTTGGAGCAGGCTCAAGAAGCAGGTTAATTTCTATGATTCTGACTGCAAGAGAAACTGAGTTGTATTCTTGAAGTCGCTTCAGAGAAAACTCTTAAAAGTTGCTGGAGGTTACCAGCATCACTTAACACATTGTGCGTATCGGCCCCATCTTTGCTAAGGACTTTTACTGGTTTTAAAGCATATGCATGAGAGAAACATCAAAAGTATCTACCTATGTCTAATGTCACACAGGACTAGGGGAGCTGCAAGAAGCTGTTGAAATGAATTTGCAGGGAGTTTCATGACTCCTTCCTGCAGGCTCTGTTGGATTATGTTTATAGAGAAGACTTACCAAAAATTCTGCCTCCAGACTCAACACCATCAAATGCACAGATCTCCAGGATACCAAGCCCACAGAGAGCATTTCCATGAAGAGGAAACAGTCCACCAGTGGAAGTGAAAGAAATGTCTCTGAAGGTTGGGGCATCTCCCTGGAGTTTTGTTAGACATGAGTAGGCAAAGCCATGATGGTTCTATCTGGCAACTGGAGATAGTCCTGCTTCAAGCAAAATGTTGGAATAAATGACCTGCAGACATACCTCCCAGGCAACTTGGACGTGGTTTTATCAACTTTTTAATACCTGTGATACCTGAGATCTAAGCACAACCTGGTATTATCTATCTCCTTTAAAGATTGTTCAGAGGCAATAGCACATAAAAACAAAATTAAGAGTGTAAGTGGGGAGATTTCATAAGTTAACCGTTTCTAGCCATTTTCAGATCTTATAAGTACAAAAATATAAAAATTAAAGTCAGTACTTTTTCAGTCATTCACTTTTGTTAGTAGGGACGGCTTCAAAAATGTGCCTGATGTTTGTACAGCATAGTGCTCTTAAGTAACTGCCCAAGCTAATTCTCAGCAAAGCAGCTCAAGTACTTGTTGATGCACTGTATAGGTATTGCATCATCCCTTCATTTTTATGAAAGGTGCCTTGATGTTGCCTTGAAGAAAAACCATG